TGCACCCGTGCTACTGGAGGGGTGGCGAGTATACGAACGCACCATGGTGCAACGTAACAGGGCGACCCTCCCTGCAGGGCGTACCCGTCCACCACACGAGGTTTACACCCCTCGTGCATGCTACCAGATCTGCAAGGTGGAAAGCTATCCAATCAGTCATAAGTTCGGTTTGTGAATTAATAAATAACTGCAGCTACCTGATATTTAATCCGGACGGGGAAAGCCAGGCCAGTAAAGATAGCCCAGTCATTTCGAACAAGCAAACAGCAAACAGCCACTGGAAGAGGCAAGTCGCGGGAGCAAACGAAACATCAACTACCTTTTGGGCAATGGGAGTAGAATGGAGATCTTCAGAGCCCGTGCTATGGCTAAACGATGACGAACCATTGTTGTGAACCACTCTGTCAAGTGGAGGTGCACCAGTGCTATGTGTATGTGTGAATAATTGGGCTGTGGGGCCAAACAAATACTTAATTCACAGGGCATCTTCAGACCCACCATTTAATATTTGTGCGCTGCGCGTGTTCAGGGGAAGCAGAATGGTTCGGAACAGCGTGGAACTGAGGCTTCAGTTTGGCTGAGGTTCGTTAAATCCAGCCAGAGCAGAGCATCAGACATTAAATAGAGCTGAGAGTGTTACTCAGGGATGGGACCAGGCTTGAAGAACCAGGAATAATTGGGCTGGGTACAAAAGCTTAAACCCGGAGGAGGGATATGCAATCATGTCGGTAGAGACGAGTATGAAAATAAAGTGACAGGTTATAGCTAAGAACACTTGAAAGGGTATGTAGGATACCTCGACCTATTCAGGAGAGTCCACTTGAGTGACGTGCAAAATCACAAGCCAGAAATTGTGGATTCTTGAGATTTATTAAACGATGCGGTACTACATGTATAAAATACGTAATAAAAGGGGTACAGACCTCAAATTATGGCGGTTTTTGTCCAAACTGTTGCACGAAGTAGTGAAAGTCCAAAGACAGCCCGGAGAAGATAGCAAATCGATCTGAGTTTGAGACGTACGCCTGGGTACAACAGGTGGTAACGCAATTGGGCCAAAAAGCCCACGTAAAGAATGGCCGACCAAACTGGTTCGACATACAAAGTGTTAAAGTTCGTGTGGGGTAAATGGAGTGTAAATGAAGTCCATGGGACAGACGCAGTGGACAGCAGCAGATGAGAGAGGGTTTTGACTGGGGAGAAGAAATACAGGGTAGCTGTCGCACTTGCAGGCTAATCTTAAGGTTTTCAGGCTGGTTAGTGTAAGTGCCAGAACCTAATAACAGGACAGTCATGGTGAGTGCGCAGATTATAACGGCTTAGGGACTACTTCAAAAAGTGTCTAGTGTAAGCTGAGGCGCGAAAAGGCGCTCAGCTCCCTCAATAGAAAGGTAAGAATCGATGGCCTTTCGAAAGCCAACGTGAGATGAAACAGTACGGATATGGGAGGGGAACTTGTACTATAATTTAGAACAAAAGCAAAGGAAAAGTTTTGTCTAAAGACAGTTCGATATGTCGACAGTGCGAGTAAACATCCTGAGTTACGGATATTATAGGGAGCACAGTAAGAAAATTCAGGGCAGCAGTCAGCTATGTAAGCCTGCCGGCAGATTAAGCGATGCAGAAGGCCTAAATTCAACCTGATGCGCCTTAGCCATAATGGATCCAGCCCAAGTGCCAAGCAGCGAAGACGATACGGCACTATGGATGACACCGGAAACAGGGGCTTATTAAACGAGCGCTGCACATACTTTACAGCAGTCCGGTATGTCTGTGAATACTGTGAGGCGAATTCAGGGCTGCATTCAAGAATGGGTCTTACAAATTGTCTAAAAATGGTAGTTAAACAGGATTTATTATGGAAGAATCGGCGAATGTAAGCGCAGAGCTTGCAAGCTTAAGCCATTCTGTACCTTACATGTTGGTTGAAGCTAAATGTACAGGAATACCTAAGGCCTAGGTCTCTCTATTCGGGAAGAGTAGGAATGGAGAGTCCGTTATGTGTAGGCGTCCCAGGAGGAATTTGAAATCGATGTGACATGGCTTGGCATTTTGGAACAGCGAAAGAAAGACAGGAGTTGACAGACCGGAGTGACAAAAAATTCGAGTCAAACTGAATGTTAGCAAGAGTAGAAGCAGAATCACTGGACTTAAACGTGTAAGCTATCTTAATGTCATCAGCAAAAAGAAAAGGGGATCCATGGGTGATCGAGTCGGTGACGTTGTTAACGTACAGTAAGAACAGTAGAGGGCCAAGCACACTACCCAGAAAAACTCCACTGGTAATGGGAAGGGCTGAGGAGTAAAGATCCCCGATTTTGGTGGCCTGGGTTCCTCCAGTGAGGTAAGAGTTTATAGAGTAATCCGGTGTAGGAACTAATTTAGCACAGGATGTAAGTTTGCACGGGAAAAAAGAAAAACCAGAAGAAAACAACCAGGCCAGAAACGCTGCATATTTAGATCATGTTGGTATTTAAGTCCTTTATTAGTCTAAAGGTGGTAGTGAGGATAGGAAGAAATGTTAAAGAATCCTTTACTAGCCCACTAACTGTGACGTTGCTAGACTAATATGCGCACTGGACCTGATTTGTAGAGGTCAGAGGATAGTAGAGTATTAAGTAAGGCGGCAGCAGTTTCACAGGTAAGGAATGTGTCTAAAACTGAGAAGAAGCATGGTGATGCGTGATACTTCGCGGCTGCTCAGGAAGTCTGTTCCAGATGCAAGCGTAATAAACTAGAAAGAAGTAGTGGCGTAGGTTTGTACGAGCTGGGGGACACACTAAGTGGTTGCAGGGGATGCGGAGACTGTAGCGAGGTTGTAAGCTTATACTTGGTCCAGCCCCTGTTATAAATGCGTTCTCATGCAGCAGACGGTGCAAGAGAGCTAGATTCAATTTTAGCCGCCTAAGCCATAATGGTTCAAGGCCTAGGATTTGACAGCAGGAGCGGTAAGAGAGGGGGTTTGACCGAGGAGAGTTTTTTCGTAAATGAGCGTTGGACGCTTTCAATTGCGAGTCTGCAACTTTGGGTGTAGAGGGAGGAGAACGTGGGACAGAATTCCACGATTGGTCGTACGCATAGCTTAAAGATTGCAACCATCGTGTCTAGAAGTTGGCAGGAGCGCAGCATTAAAAAACTGAGCCTCCGTGCTTTTGCAACCTGAAACTGAACCTGGTGGGAAAAGCTAAAACTACAGGAGTATCTGAGGCTGAGATCTTTGATCTCCGTGGAATACGTGATAGAATTCCCATTAATTGTGAAAGCGTCAGCCGGGAGAGAGCAGCTGCAGGAAGTTATACAGGTATTTGTGGGGGAAATCTTAGACCAGATTCGTTTGAACAGCGAGTCAGTGAATCTAAGTCTTGATTAATCTGGTGAAAAGCAAGGGCTTCTGCAGAGGACGGGAATGTATACGCGATTTCTATGTTGTACGCGAAGAGGAAAGTCTTATCATGGGAAATGGCTCCGAAGATGTCATTGATGTACAGTAAAAAAGGGATGGGGCCTAGTACACTTCCTTGGATGACTCTGCTAGTGATCGTTAGCGGAGATGATTGTATGTCCCTGATTTGCGTTGTTTGCCTCCTGCCTGATAAGTAGGGGGCGAACCACTGAAACAAGTTTCCATTGATGCCCACGGTACTAAGTTTGTGTAGCAGGGAGGCGAGAGGGACCTGGTCGAAGGCTTTTTGGATGTCCAGATAGACTGTTACAATGGAGCATCCAGTATCGTAGGCTGTTGTAACGGTCTCAAGGAAGTAAGGCTGGTGGCCATTTACGGATCTTGAGATAGGAATCCGTACTGTCGGTCATCTATGGCGTTTGTAGCTAGGAGAAACCTGATTAACAGGCATTTGACCAGACGTTCAAGGGTTCTCATTAGGACGGAGGTATGGTGGATTTCCCTGTAGTTGTTTATACGATTACGAACGGTGAAACAAGAATGACGTTATACCAAAGAATGCCACTTGTCTCCTGCAGTCGCGTTTGGAAATGGTTTATCCAAAAGAAAGTTCTCAACTTGCTCTACCGCTCATACGCTTTTCTAGAACACAAGGCTCGAAAAGACTAAAGAGCATATATTAAAATTAGTTTTGCATAAAAGCAAGGAAGCCTAAGCACAACATTTGTTACAGCCAACAAACAAACAGATACGCAAACCTGCTGAGGACAAATTCTAGCGCTGGGAATTTAATCAGTTCTAACATTCATTGTGCGCAACTTATGCATATATTGCTCAAGGCGCCCAAAAAACCTCTTCTGAATGACGTCGCTTTTTGATGTATTGCGATATACAGTTATAAACTGACCATATTCGTATCGAATATCACATTCTAAATGGTCTGACATTATACAAACAACAAAGACGTTTAGCGTTGCCATACAATTAATAAGTATCCAGGAGCTAGCGATGGAGGTGAGCGGATGTAAGCCAAGGATTCGTAGCCTGCTCACGTTTCGTAGAGCAAAAACCTTCGTTCTATACAATGAAATATTATCACAGAGAGCAAGAAAATACCTTTAGCAAGAAACTTATGCCAAAGGCCATCTATCGCCGCAAAATGTTACTTCATATAGTACCCACGGACGTATTTGTGTCCGTGCCATTCATTGAATGTGCACATTGTAAAGCTCGGTGAACGTTTGTTGATTCCTTCACACCTACCGACACTCCATGACTCTCATTCCACATTTCAGACACTGCTTGGAGTATAAACTTCACCCGTATTTTCCTTGACATTTACGTTGGATCTGCTCAAAGACCTGTGGTACAATCTTGAACGTACGTTCGTATTGAATCATTGCTATTTATTAACCATTGACGCTTCTATTCGATCAATAACACTTGTTTATTTGTTGTTATTACAGAACCATACCGAATACAACGACAACCTTCGCGACTTAACAAAGGATTTCGGGTGCGTATACTCAGATAGTATCTCAGCCGCATATTTTGTGTCAATCACCCAGGTTCAGAGTGCAACCTAAAGTTATTCAAGATGTCGCAATCCGACGATGGATTACGTCCTCCAGTATTGTCAAGTAACGCTTCTCCTACAGAGCGTGACGCAGTACATTCATCAGATAATCGCCATGTGGAGCTGGAGCTCGCACGCCTGCGCATCAGGGAGTTGGAACTTCAACTTGAACTGCGGAAACTTCTTGAAGTGGAAGCTAAAAAGAACAATCAGGACGAATGCGATTCGCACACTCAATTTCAATCAGATCCAGCTAATTTGAAGTCCATAGCCTTTGCTCTGGAAAGGCGACTGGAATTACCGAAGCGCGAGTTGCAACGCTTTAATGGGAACCCGAAGGACTATCGGACCTTCAGGAAAGCGTTCAGTAGTACTATTGAAGACCGTACCCGAAAGGATGAGGCTCGCCTGGGTTATTTAACACAATGTTGTGACGGCGAAGCAAAAAGAAGGATTGAGCGATGTACGGTCCTACGAACCAACGAAGGTTACGGGCTCGCGAAGGAGATTTTAAGAAAGCGATTTGGCCAGAACTACATGGTGGCCCGAGCGTTTATCGACGATTCGATCACTGGGCCCACTAATAAAGATGGTGATTCGTCCACTCGATCCGACTTGGCACAACAGCTGACCGTGTGTGAGGTACCATTAAGAGGAATGGATCTTAATTCCCAACACACGACTCAGATTACCTTCTCGACTTCGTTTCAAATGGGCCCAGGCGGTCGCTAACACCAGGCGAGAAGATCGTGAGCCAGAAGTTACTGACATTACTGCCTTTATTGAAGCACGTGTTGATAGCCTGTTTTCGGATTACGGCGAACTTGCTCTCAGTCTAGCGTCCAAGGAACGAGCGAGATAAAGACCACCAATATCCGGTCAAATACACGGTAGAAATAATCATTCTACTCAAACGTTAGCTCCTCGTACCGGTATCGACCCTCGCTGTGGTGTCTGTGGCAAAGCCCATTATCCTGATCAGTGTGCGCGATTCATTGCAGAGTCACCAGAAAAACGCCGCGAATTCGTGATGCGCCATAAACTGTGGAATTTTTGCCTACGCCCGAATCCTGTCGCGAAATTCTGCAGGTCGCGAACAGTCTGCCCTCTCAACGGATGCATCATTTAAAAGTTGTTCAGAATGATGAAGAACCAAGCGTATCATCACACCACACTTCTCTACGTCACTTCGATCAGGCGTCTCCGCGTGTTTCCTCGCGCGATGTAGCTCTTGCGCTCGTTTCAGTTAAGAAATGGGGTGGGGCTCGAACCATCAGTACATGCGCCTTTCTCGACAGTGGCTCAGATTCCTCATTTATCTCTCAAGCCCCTGTGACAAGACTAAATTTGCGTGGTTAGCATACCAGACTCAACTTGAAAACATTGACTGACGATAAAACACTTCAGTCAACAGAAGTGAGGTTTGATGTAGATTGTCCGGGTTCAAATGAATCAATCTGTGTTCAACGAGCATGGGTGGTAAAGAACCTTCCTAAAATTAACCAAATTGTTCCAAACCACTACCAGCTAGCCAGATGGACACATTTAATGGATGTCCCATTCGATAAATACAACGACACCAAGATCGGTATTTTACTCGGATCCGATGTACCTAAGGCTCTTTGGATAGAGGAACGACGGAAAGGCACCCCAGACGAACCATTCGCTATCAAAACGCCGCTTGGTTGGACATTGATGGGTTCATTGTATAAATGTGGTACGCAACATTCTTTTGTAAGTCACACGATAATGTGTGATTTTGAGAAAAACCTAGAGCGTTTTTACCAGCAACATATGCTGGATCCTGGACCTCCAAAAGACAAGGAAATGTTCGTTTTAGACCGGGGACTTCTCGTCTTCGTTTGCGGCAAACGTCTCACGAGGGGAACGAGTGCTCCCGCTTCTGCTCCAACCGTTTTGAAGAAACCCAAATCGGCCAAGACCAAGATCCCAGGTAACCACCCGCCGGGAATCGATATGGTGAAGGCTTCCACCAACGCCGCGAAGGACCGCAAAGGCACATCACTTCCGACCATCAAGAAGTTCATCGCCGCCAACTACAAGGTTGATGTCGAGAAACTCGGCCCACACATCCGTCATGGCATTGCTCATGCCGTCCAGAAAGCTGTCCTTGTTCGCATCGGTAACCAGAGCAAAGATGCATCAGGGAGCGTCAAGGTCGCCGAGGAGAAGACCGCTGTTGCTAAGCCTAAGCCTGTCAAGAAACCCGAAGTGCTCAAGGCTAAGAAGCTTGCCGCTCCGAAGAAGCCCAAGGCTGCCAAGAAGCCGGCCAAGCCAAAGACTAACACCCCGTCAAAGCCGAAGGCCGCCAAGAAACCAATGACTTCACTCGCCACCAGAAAGAATAGATTGTCTTACGTTTCCTCCTTTTTTACCCTCTGGGTTATTTGTCTCCTGTCATTCTAACTGCTGAACTTTTACTCCAGCGTTTGTGCAAATTGAACTTTGAATGGGATTAAATCCTAGAGGGCATCGAGATGGATTTATGGTCGAAATGGTTACGTTCAATTCGGCTGATCCAAAATGTCGTCAGACCTAGGTTCATAAAGGGCCCAGGGTTTTACAGTACCACACAATTTGATTTGCATGTCTTTAGCGACGCATCTGATTCGGGCTATGATGCAGTCGCTTACCTTCTGTTGACCAAGCAAAATGGAGAAACATGCTGCTGACTTGTTTGGGCAAAAGCTTGCGTAGCCCCCATTAAAACGACTACGATGCTTCGTTTAAAGTTAGTCGCGGCAGTGGTTGCAGCGAAGTTGGCGAAACAGATACAAGTCAACAGTGGAGTTGTCATCTCTTCGACAACCTTATGAACGGACTCATTAATCGTTTTATATAGCGCCCGAAACCAATCAGATATTTTCTACCTTCGTTGCCAATCGTTTGGCCGTTATACTGGACTTATCTAGTGTCGAAGAATGGCGATATGTTACGACAAAATACAATCCTGCTGATCTTGCATCTCGTGGCGTGTTCGCTTCCGATGCGTCAAAGCTCAAGCGCTGGTTAGATGGGACTTCATTTCTGACACCTGATCACAGCTTATGGCCGCAGACTCCATCTAGTGCCACGACGACGGATTGTAGTGTATTTACGTCGCTTGTCAATATACCTGATGAGCCAAAGGAAATAAATCTGATTTCACTGTTTGAATACGTCAAATCTTGGACTAAGTTACTCCGCCTAGTGGCGTGGTTGTTAAAGTATGAAACATATCTAGTGAAGAAAAACAAGCAACAAAACACATTATTGACGGTGAACGACCTGCGTGTAGCCACAAAGGAAGTAATCCGACTGGCACAATCATAAACATTTGGCAAAGAAATTTCATCGCTACAGAACTCATGTTGCGTTGCCGACACCGTGACAACTCATGGACCGGAAACGGACAAGGTAGTTTGTCGCTCAATTTCATTGCGTAAACTAAACCCCCATTTGCTCGACGGTATCTTCCGGGCTGGGGGTCGATTACAAGACGCTACGCTGCCATTTGAGACTAATTATCCTGTAATCCTCCCTTCGAAGCATTTCGTCACTCATTCGATAATTGAACACTGTCACACTTTGAGTGGTCACACGGGACTCAACTTAGTCGTTTCAAATTAAAGGCCAAAGTACTGGATCCTGAAGGCCGCAAAAACGGTCAAATCGCTACCAAAAGACTGTTTCAAATGCCGTCGTTGGTTCGGGAAACCCTGTCAACAAGTTATGACTCCACCAAGCAGCGATCCAACTCAGTTGTCGATTTCGGGGGGAGTGTAACGTTCGGTGAACGTTAGTTGATTCCTTCACACCTACCGACACTCCATGACTCTCATTCCACATTTCAGACACTGCTTGGAGTATAAACTTCACCCGTATTTTCCTTGACATTTACGTTGGATCTGCTCAAAGACCTGTGGTACAATCTTGAACGTACGTTCGTATTGAATCATTGCTATGTATTAACCATTGACGCTTCTATTCGATCAATAACACTTGTTTATTTGTTGTTATTACAGAACCATACCGAATACAACGACAACCTTCGCGACTTAACAAAGGATTTCGGGTGCGTATACTCAGATAGTATCTCAGCCGCATATTTTGCGTCAATCACCTAGGTTGAAATTGAGACCTAACCTTATGCATGCAATTTCATCATTGAAAACCTCCTTTAACATTGGCGGTACGCACGGGATACACTTAGTAGTCTTTCCAACATATTCTTCGTGGTAAATCAAACTTGGATGTTCAGCATGTTGACCGGGTCCAGATTATATAAGTTATGCTGCATGTACGGTTGCTAAGTACAATTTAATTTGTAGTTTGTAGATGATGCCTACCGTTCCCGCACGGCTGTCATGCTACATGAACCTTGAACTAAAACATGGCTGTCAGTGTACTTTGATGATGTCAGTGTAGCGGCTGCACTTAGAGCAATTGACAAGCAAAAGCTGACGGGACCGAAATCTGACTACTTTGGGCTGCGTAAAATCTCTAATTTATTACACTCAACAGTCTGAAAACGTAATTAGGTGTCACCCGGCACGCCACTCAACTGGAGGAGATTGTTACAATGCCTTTTTGAATGATTCGATTGATGTTATGATAGGATTACGATCCAGGCACAAACCTCTTAAGGAATGACATACGGTTAAAATGCCGACTTTATATGGAGGTACCAGCCTTCATCATTTCCGTTACCTTATTTGCCCCCTTTACGGGAAATTAGTTTCTGAGACCATAAACATCCACCTGTTCTCTAATGGCATTGTTACTTATCTTTACAACAATAAACATCCCAGCGGTGTTTTTTAACCCCTTTTGATCGCAACAACCACGGAACAATCGCGAATATCTGTAAACATAAGCCATGCCCCGTACACAGGATTTTTGCTGGTAGTGCAAAATAATGAGAGGTTGGTTGTTTCAAAAACGCATGTAACTGCTTCCTGAATCTTCATTGTGTTGGTTAACCTGTGAAAGTCTCTACGTTCTCTTACGTTTCATTTTCTTACGTTTCCATTTTCCCGCAATAAAATTTTGACACAATGCGTCCAGAAAATGTTAAGGTACGAATAATGTGAGATAGCCTCCGGCCATGATTCTATTACACTAGCGGTAGACACTTACCCTAGTTTAAGGGCTATACCGCCGAAAAAACCTTGTTTGTTCCCGATCTGCTAATAGATCAACCGGGTGATTGTATACAGCCATGATGAGCATACGGCTAGGATGCTCTTGAGCCCACTGAGAGCACCTCTGGTGAGCAGGACGTTCATGTCATCCAGAAAAGGCTTTAAAGCAACCACAACTAGAGTAAGATCGCAACAGGGGCGAATTAACAAGGTCGCTATGAGCCGGGTATGAATTACGTATTTGGTGTCTCAGAATACATGACAATCTGCATTATTATGGTTATTACGATATGTTTTGTGGCCAAATGTAGGGCATTGCCAGGTATTCGGCCGCTTCCTACCTCTTATTAATTGAATTGCAGTCGCGAGCTGCTAAACAACCACAAAATCACGGGTAAAACAAATACTTTCGGCCTTTTTCCAATTGCTTGCAATCAGCCATTTGTATGCCATTCATAGGAAAACTAACGATGAAACACTGCTTGTCTTATGCTCTTTTATAGCAAATTATTATTTAACCGGGCCAATAATAGTCAATACAAAGCCAACACCATGACACGTAATTTCATCCAGCCCCCGCAAAGCAATGATACGGCTGCACGGTGATGAGAGTGACAGCGACTGCACTTTTTTTACTAACTTTTATGGCGCCTTATTCGGTTTGGGCCGTACAGATGGACTCATATTTTCACATCCATTTTGGTTTTGCTGCTTCATG